AAGGACAATGTGGTACACACAAAAAGGCCTTGGAATCGAGGATATAGATGAGTGAACCTCAGCCTCCCTCAGTGCAGGGTTCCCTACTCCCGAGGGGGCTAAGGTATAGAGGTCTTGATTTTGTAGACTTGGAAGTCTTTTGTCCATCTTTTAATGTGTAAATATGACTTTTAATGTATAAATCTGTTGTTAGGACAGCAGTTGGCCACCCTTGAGGGGAAGAGTGTAGAAGTGTCCAGGCTCTACGTGGGTGAGGGCCAGAGCTAAAGAAATGAGAGGATATCAAAGGGTCCTTCCTTTAGGAGGGAGCATTTGATACTACGGTATACCAATAACACATGAACATATGTTGGTCATTTTAAGGTTTAATATTTTTATTTATTTAAGGCTTCATTATTAGGCAACCACTTGTGTATCTTCTTAATGTATACCTGATAAAATTAAAATTTATAGGACCATGGGATTTTAGATCTATAGCTAGAAGAGACCTTAGAGGACATTTGGTTTATTCCTTGCCCTGTATTTTATTGATGAAGAAATTTCGGTCTGCTTAAGTCAGGTAATTATTCAAAGTGAGAGGAAGTATGAGGTTGATTAGAATCAAGGTCAGTACTCCGAATTCATTACTTTTCCTTCTTTACTTTGCTACCTAGAAAACAGCTAAATTAGGTGGTTAAAATAATTTTTTGAAGGACACCTTTACAAAAAGATTTACAACATGCTGTCTTAAAATAGCAGTTTTCCAGATGCATTTAAACTAATTTACATTCAATTCTTTGGGCATGTTAATTATAACTTATCTAATAAATCTTTAAGTTTGATATAGTACCTCTTTTACTTACTTACTTTGAGCTTTCTTTTTTATATCAGTCTGAACAGTATCATCTTTTCCACATGAAATATATTACAGGGAGAGATTTGACAGGGGATAAGATAGGGCCTTTGACTGAATCCAAACTTCACAGAACAAATGCCCTTAATAAAAGGATTTGTTCTGTAAAACTTGGACTCAGTCAAAAGGTCACACCCAAGAACCAAGAAGGCCACAGGTGGCCTCAAGGCTGAGGGTTCCCCATCCTGGGAAGGCTTACCAGACCCAGACTTGTGCTCTTCCAGGTCTTTATCTGGTGGCTTCATTTCTCAAATGAATTTCAAATCCATGTGATAGAACATTTCTTAAGCATCTGTTATGTGGCAGTCACTGTGCCAACCTAATTAAACAAACCTCCAAATGGAAATGTGAAAATATACCCCAAATATAAAAGTAAATATAGCTTTCATAGCTTAAAACTACACTAAGATTTTTGGAATACCGTGTATTTGGATTATTCTCCTTCTCCCACAGAAATGGGTGTTAGATGATAAAAGTTGACTAATTAAAATCTCTGTGTTTCAGAAGTTAGAAGTCACAAAAGGATTATATAATAACAAGAAATACTTCCCTCAGTATTGAGGATTAGCCATACCTTTGTGCAACTATAACTCTAAAGAATGTTACTTTTATCTATTGCTAAATTTAAATTGGAGGTGTTATTTTCAATTTAAGTTTTTGGAAGTGCAGTAGTGAAAGTGTTGTGCTGCTTAAAAATTTGAACCATTTGGAAAGGCAATTTTTAAACACAACTGCCCTTTAATTTCAATTTGGCAGCCTTTTAGCTAACTATGGCAATGGAAGATAATGCTGTAATTCCACCCACTTTGGTAACAGGTTAATTGTTTCTTACTAGCTACTTCCCCTTTGTAATTAGTAATGCTTATTTGTAAAATGAGATTCTCATCAGACTTTGGATGAATAAACCATTTTGCCTTGAAGAAATGTGTAGAAAGGAGCATTTAAATAAATAAATAAGCTGGGGTAAAGAAATGAGAAAAGGAATAGGATTGACTAACGAAATTCTCATCTTTTTTTCACCACAACCTTGATCAGGTACAGAACATTTGTTCTGTTATCATTTCGGATATCTGTATTTTCTAAGTTAATAACTTCAGAGTGCTTCATACACACATTCACAAACACACATATAAACACGTATGTGTGTGTAAAGTGTGTTTTTTGTTATTGTTTCTTAGAGTTGTCTTCCCAGGATCCATAGCCATAACAATCTCTACTTTCCAGGTGTTAGACATGAATTCTCACGATCATGGTTCAAAGAAGTTTCTACTTCGAAGTCAAAGTGTAGGGATGAAGTGATGTAAAATTGTGAGGCTTCATGCCTTCTTTGTTGCCCTGTAAATCAAGTGGGCACTGCTCAGTGACTGGGGACCCCCATAGGGATGAATGTGCAGTCTGAATGCTGTTTGTGCCTTGATTGGCCCTCATCAAGACTTGGGAGGAGGAATCTGTGTTTGCCTCAACTGGTCCCCATTGAGGCTTAAGGGGATTTAGGGGAGAGCACAAGTTGTGCTTGTCTCGATTGACCCCATGCAGATGAGGGGTAGTTGCCTCCCCCCTCACGCCAGCCCGTCCAAGAAGGGTTGTTAGGGAATGCTGTAGGAGTTGGTGCTCCCATTATCAGCAAACTCCCTTTGAGAAGACTAGACTAGAATAAAGTAAGCTTATTGAACTTATTATTGTAACTCCATTCCTGTCTTCCCATCTGACTGGATTAAAATCGAACCTGCTAGTGAGAGAGGTGCTAGAAGCCCTCCTGTGTTTCTTTTCTAAGAATTGGCGTAGTCGGTGTGTTTACTTGTCCAACAATATATGCGAGCGCACGCGCGTGCACACACACGTAAGTATGGTATACTGGAATAAATAATGCTTTTGGAGTCAGGAAACCTGGTTTTGAATCCTCATATGTGTGATGTTGGGAAAATTACTTAACCTCTCTAGAGCTTGTTTCTTCTGTAAAAGAAGGAGTTTGAACTAGGTGATCACTAAGGTGGCTTTAGTTTTGATATTCTACTAGTCTAAATAAAGAACCACATGTGAGGAAAATACACATGGAAGATAGTACAATGTTCTGGATCATGGCCATAGAATCAGGTATTTGCACCTGTGTTCTTTTCTCACTTTACCTGGAGTAGAAGTGAAGTAAGTAGAACTAGGAAAACAGTTTGTACTATGATAGTATTATAAAAATGAACAAGGCCATGATGCTAGAGAACTAATGATAAATGCTGCCCACCTCTTGGCAGAGACGTGATGAACTAAATATGCAGAACGGCACACATTTTGGGGAATGGCCAGTATGAAAATTTGTTTTGATTGAATAATATTTGTTACAAGAGTGGGTTAAACATTTTTTTTTCCATCTAGTTTTTCTTGGGGGGCAGGGAGAGGTAATGAGAAGAAGAAAAAATAAATACTTAATTGAAAAAAATAATTAAAATAAAATTGTATCTTCTCTTGCACAGCTTTCTTCTGTTCAGTTCTCCTTGCTTTTCCCTGACTTTATTAAATGCTGTTGCCACTTTCTCACCTAGTAGATTAGATCCATTGGGGTAATTCTATCCATTATCTTTACTGATAAGAATAGATCACTGTAGAAACACCAGTAGATCTGTTTCATTTAACCTCAATTTTTTTTGTCCTTTGGATTTTATCTCCATCTTTCATTGGCATGATTTGGTTTAGTTTGGACTCATACTTAAGATCTTTAAAAGTTCATTTTCCTCTCCTCTGCTTTTTGAAGTTTTGTGAGTTGATAATTGCTGTGATACCTCAGCTCCTCCCTATTTTGTAAATCACCATATACTATAAACCACTCTCCATGGCTGCCCTGTCCCTTTGCTTAGCAAGCCGACCTTGTTGCTGATTGAGGTGGTTTATGGGTTCTTTTGGTCTTGGTGTCATGCCTGGTGTACATGACTATCACATTTCTTAAAGAAATTTAATGGATAAATTACTTGCCTTCTCAGTAATGGGAGAGGGGAGGGAGAGGATTTGGAATTCAAAATTTTTAAAAAGATTGTTAGAAATAATAAAAAATTTTAAAACCTTGAAAAAAAATAGTTGATAGTATCATCAGTTTTTCTGTTTCCCACTTTTTGGAGTCATTAACTTCTTTAAACAGGTAGGGTTAGCCCTGTTATAATTTGCAAGTAATGTCATTTTCAAATTGTCTTCCTTTCTAGCTTGCTCTTGGCTCTAACCTTTTGTCAGCATAAAGCTATCTGATTCTTAAGTTAGTAATAAATCATTATGTGAAGCAATAGTCAGTTTTACTTTTTGTGACCCAGTACTTGCTATATTTTGCCCTTCAGCTCTGTTGTTGAAAAAAGTATTCATGATGTTAGAAGCTTCTGTATAATCTCCATATATCTGTCCTCTTTCATTTCTCAATCTTGGTCTATATTATCCAACTTAATTTTACCATCCTTGCTGTCACCAAGTGTCAAAGTATTTGCTAACTTAATTGATCAAGTTATTCACAAAACTTTCTTACTTTTCCTCCCTTTGCAACAGATGTTGGCATATGGGCTGTGACTTTTTCCTACTGATTTTTTGCTGTGTTTACAATGAGTATAATCAAATCAAGATCATAGTGTCTCAACTAACGCTTATCATTGCTGTTAAGTTCAAAATGAAGCCAATTTCCTTATTTGCCTTCCCGAAGAGAACCTGTAAGCCATTCTGTGATAGAATTATAATGACTGGGGAACCTCTTAAAGCCCAGTTCAACTTAAATTTGTGATATTCTGATAAAAAGCTTCTACACGCGGGGCAGCTAGGTGGTACAGTGGATAGAGCGCCAGCCTTGGAGTCAGGAGGACCTGAGTTCAAATCCAGCCTCAGACACTTGGTTTACACTTATTAGCCTTACACTTACTAGCTGTGTGACCTTGGGCAAGTCACTTAACCCCGATTGCCGCACCATAAAAAAAAAAAAGCTTTTACACACAGATTTTCTTTTCTGTACTACTAAAGAATCTAGCAAATGATAACTTAGTATGTTCTTAGAAAATATAAAATTGGTTTATTCTACATTCTACCCATGTTCTGACAGTACAGTGAACATACATTAATTACTAAATAAGGCTTTCTTTTTTCTTTACAGAACAATGTTGGTAATACAGATGGTGTACTTAAATTGAACAATTTAAGGTAAAATTTACAACTTCATATTTTTCTTAAAGTTTGCTTGATTATTTCTAGACCCCAGCTCAGTTGCAAAAGTAAAAATTATTAGAAGGTGAAACTTTAAAAATGTATTTTTGTAAATTTAACAAAGCTTTTTGTAAAACTTGAGGGGATTTAAGTGAGTTAGAAATTCTTTGGAAAAAACTCGGCTTGTGCACCCTGTATCAGTTTTAGCTCTAAATGTTGATATGTGACTTTGTAAGTTTAACTTATTAAATTATAAAAAGTTTATTAATTTTCTTTAAAAATACTTGAAAGCACATCATAATACAATTCTTTAAATATTTCTTTAGTGTCTGTTGTACCTTAAGAATATGATACTATATCCTCAACAGATACCTAACTCCATTTTTTTTAGATAAAGCCAGATAAATAGTAACAGTTTACATAATACTTTAAGGCTACAAAATAGTAACCTTCCAACATCAATAGTGCATATGATCATCTCTGGTTTGTAAGTGGAAAAACTGGAATTTGTGTCTTACCCAAGATGTCATGGCTATTAAGTGTTGGACCAAGTGCTTGCAGGTTAGAAAATTGAAACATTATATTAATTGTTTTTTATAAATTTTATCTTCCATATTTCATCAGTTTCAATGATTTAAAAAACTTAAGTGGTTTATGGCTTTTGGCTCATTTTTAAAATGTCAGGTTTGTGATTTCATGCCTCATTTATGAGAGTCAAAACTCTCTCTGCCTTGGACTAGGTCATCGTGTGTGTGTGTGTGTGTGTGTATTAATACATTGTCTTTGGTACCTTTCAGCACATTGTAGTACTATTCCATCTTTTTTGTCTATTTTTGCTATTGCTTTGTTTGATATCATGGTTGTTACCTCTGCCCTTTTTAGTTAAGTTGAAGCATAAAAAGATTGTGCTCCTGTGTCTTATTCTTTGTGCATCTTTCTGGTTAAGGTGTGTTTCTTGTAAATAGCATATTGTTGGATTCTGCTTTCTGATCTATTCTTGGATGAGCTCACTGTATTCCCATTCATAGTTATAATTGTTAATTGTGAATTTCCCTCCATCCTATTCTCTTGTACTTTTTTTTCTCTTTACAAAGAAAAGGGCGGTGAGATCAGAGTGAGTAGCACCAGGGTCCTAGGTTTAGTATAATCTGCTTCTGCTCCCCTGCCCCTCTTCTCTTTTCTTCTGCCTGAGCCCAATAACAGATTCTTATCCTTTCTGAAAACCCTCTTTGAAATTCACCTTCCTTAAGAGTTTATTTTGCTTAGAACTAATCCCTCCCTTAATCCACACCCCTTTTGTTCCTCGCTTTCCCTTCTCCCTTCCTGTTTCCCTGAGTGAAATACCCCACAGTGAACTGTGAATTCCTTCCAGTGACCATTTCAGATGACAGTGAGGTTCAAGAGTTGCCTGCTCTCCCTTTCCTCCTTGTTTGTGTAGACTTCCACTTGTATACAATAATTATGTGAGATAATTTTCCCTAGTCTTCCTTCCTCACCTTCTTACCCTTCCCCCCCTTTCCATTCTTCTGTGGTCATCAGAACATAACAGCTATTCCCAGGCTTTTTGTCTAATTAGGCTCTTTGACCTCTCATGATAATAGAGTTTGGAGAGTATCAGGATATATGTATTATTTCTTCATATAAGAATATACTTTATCCTTATTTAGTCCCCTATGATTGTTCATTCATGCTTACCTGTATTTTTTTTTTCCTTTTGTATTTGTATTTCAGGGTTTCTATGCAGCTTGAGTCTTTTCATTGGGAATGGTTGGAAGTTCTTTTATTTCATTAATGGTACATTTCCTTCCCCTTAGAGTTATACTTAGTTTTCCTGGGTAAGTAATTCTTGGTTATAAGCCTTCAGGAATATTGTATTCCAAGCTTTCTGTTATAGTGGTGGTTGCTAAACATTATGTGATTCTGGGTGTGCCACTCCTTGGTATTTGAATTATTTCTTTCTGGTAGCTTGCAGTATTTTTTTTTTTTTCTTTACCTGGAAGCTCTAGATTTTTGCTGTAATGTTCCTGAGAGCTTTCATTTTGGGTTTTCTTTCAGGAGGTAAACAGCAGGTTTCTACTTTGCCCTCTGATTCTAAACATCTGGAAGTTTTAAGAGTTTTTGAAATATGATGTCTAGGCTCTTTTTTTAGTCATGGTTTTCAGGTAGTCTAATAATTCTTAAATTTTTTTCACCTTGATCTATTTTCAAGGTCACTGGTTTCAGATAATGAGATTACATTTTCTTGTATTTTCTTTTTTTTCCAGTCTTTTGATTGTATTTTAATATTTCTTATTGTCTTATGGGAGTCGGTATTTTCCATTTGGTCCATTCTAATTTTCAGGAAGTTTGTTGCGTGGGTAAAGTTTTCTACTTCTTGTTTCAAGCTCAATTCTCTCTTATATAGCTTTCATTTCTCATGTTTTCTTCTGTTGCTGTCATTTGATTTAAAAAATCGTTTTATAGCTCATTAAGAAAAAAAAGAAAAAAAAAACTCTTGCTTTCTCTTCTCTAGGAATTCCAGTTGAACTTGCCTAAACTGTGTTTTTCTAGGAGGCTTTGCTTATAATAATATAGTCATTTTTTTTTTCTTTTCCTCCCTGGATTTGTGTCTTGAGCGTCCATCACTATAACTTTTATGATGGGATTCTTTTTTTGTTTGTTCATTCTTCCATCCTATTTACTGACTAGGATTTGATGTTATGGCCTGTCTCTGCACTTTTGGAGGAAATGTCTGTGTTGGTCCTGTTGCTTTTTTTCTTGCAATATTGAGTATTGTGTTGTTTCAGTATCTCAGAGACAGTTCAGGGTGGGAACCTGAAAGCTTTCTCTGCTCCCATAGTGATCTGCTCTAGATTGTCTGATCATTGCCCTCTTGGTTTGGCCTTTGCAAGCTATTGACCTGGGTTTGGGTCTGAGCCACACCTTTGGGCTTACTTTGGTTTAAGTTCTAATAGGCTGTTAATGGATTCAGCCACTGTCAACCAGCTAGAAAGCTCTGCAGGTTCAGAGTATCAGCAGGCTCCCCTTTGGTCTGGGAGTTCTGCCCTGGTTTTTCATCCCTTTAGGATTTAGACTGCACTTTCTTGCGCAATAGTGGTAAAGGTTTCATATTACTTTAAAAGTTCCTACTTAGTAAGGAAAGGTAAGTTGACAAGCTTCCTTTTAATTTGTAAAAATGCTGTGTAAATAGGAGTTACAAAAATTGTTTTCATATTTACTGATTGGTAGAAGCATTAATTAGGGATTCTTTGTTCATGTTATTGTAATTAAACTACCTTTGGTTGTGTTAGCTTCTTTTTAGTCATTAAGCAACAGCTTTTTTAACAATACATATAAATAAGACTTAAACATAATTGGGCAAGAAGGTTAGTCATTGGGGGGTAGCTAGGTGGCACAGTGGATAGAGCACCAGCCCTGGAGTCAGGAGGACCTCAGTTCAAATGTGGCCTCAGACACATAACACTAGCTGTGTGACTCTGGCCAAGTCTCTTAACCCCAATTGCCTCACCAAAAAAACAAAAAACAAAAAAAGAAGGTTAGTGATTTGAAGGTGTATGAATCACTAGTTTTTCTAATACATGAAGAATCTCAATGTGAACTCATGTTACATAGACCTGGATATTGCACATGTCAAACTGTACACCTAGGTTCTATACAGCAAAAGCTTGGTAAAACATTCAGGTAATAACCTTGACCCCTTGACAGTTAAATCACATGTGTGTTCCATTGTACTAAAAAATGCCTGTGTGAAAAAATATCCCCCGAATAATGATGTTTTAAAAGTTTTTAAATGTAAATATGAGACCTTAATTATTATAAAATGTTTAATGGAAGATTGTGGGAACTGTCTAGGAAAAGTTGTTGTTTGTCTTTAACATGTAGATATATGTAACAATAGGGGCATGAATCCATGCAGCACTTGGAGGCTGGGGAGCATGGGAACTAGATGGGTTGATGACATTATAGTAGTGTTGGAGTGAGGAGATCTTATGAAGCTGTGAGGAACCAACAGAACTTTGAAAGAAAACTGGTTTAAGGAAAAGAAGAGAGCTGAAAGTAATCCAGGATAAGCTGGGTAAGAGCTCAGGGGAAGTCGCTGCCAGTTGTGTGAATAATTGTGCAGGGGAAGAAGATAGGAAGAAACTATTGAATTGTAGAATTAGATGGAGAGCTAGAAAGGACCGTCTATATAAGGCTGTAAGGGTAGAATGGAACCAAATTGCGGAGGGCCTTAAATATTAGGATGAGGAGTTTGTATTTTATCCTAGAGGCAAAGGGAACTGTGGAAGGTTTTTGATCAGGGAAGGACATGGTCAGAACTGTACTTTAGGAAAATTTTTGAAGTTATATGAAGTATAGTGTAGAGAGGGGAAGACATTAGTGGCAGGGAGTTCAAATAGGAGGCTATTAAATGTGTTTGACAAGAGATAATAAGGAATTGAAGTAGAGTTGGTGGCACTGTTAAGTATAGGAAAAAAAATAATTGTAAGACAAGTTTTGGATGTAGAATGGACAGGACTAGGAACTTGGCTGTGAGGGAGATGAAGTGGAGGATAACTTTCACTTAGAGGAGGATGGCAGATCCCTTCGTTTTACAGATGAGGAGTCTAGGGTTTAGAGAAGTAATTTGCTTGAAGTCATGTACTAGGCAGTAGAGTGGTAGAACTGGAACTTAGTAACCCAAGAAGCTTCCTAACTCAATCCTTTGTGCTTCAACCAGTATAGCTTAGACTCCAGAATTTTTCAGTTAATCATTTGACCAGATTGTGCCTAGTGTGTTTCCAGAACAGTGTGGAAAGACCTCCTGGATAATTTTTGCTAACACAGTGATCCCATAAACTTCCAGGAGTTAAATTGTCATCTCTATGCAGATGATTCCCAGATCTCTATATTCAGTCTTAGTCTCTGCTGAGCTAGTCAGACGTTTCCAGCTGCCTCTTGGACATGGTCAAACTGGTATGTCCCATGTGTATCTGAAACTCAGCATATCCAAAATAGGACTCAAACTTTCCCTCAAAACTCTTTTCTTTTAAACTTCCCTATTATTGTTGAGGATACTACCGTCTTCCCAGTTACTGAGGCTCAAAATCAACTCAACACTCCCCCTGCTTCTCCAATTTGTTATCAAATCTTACTTCAATTATCTGGACATTTATAAACCCCCTTCTCACTACTCACATATCCATCTAAGTTCAGGGCTTCTAACTGGTCTCCCTTCCTCAAGTCTATTCTGATATCCACCTCCTATTTGCTAAGGTGATTTTTCTAAAACATAGGTTTGACCATGTCACAAAGCTTTCTCACCACTCCTCCTCCCTCTACTTCTTCCAGTGGCTTCCTCATTACATCCAGGATCAAATATAATCTTCTTTGGTATTTAAAGGTTTTTACACCCTGGCCTATTACTACCTTTACAAGTCGCTTTATTATATATACTTATATAACTTGGACTGGCCTACTTGCAGTTGCTAGAACACAACTCTCCGTCTTCTGTCTCTGTACCTTTGTGTTGGCCATCCTCCAATGTAAGCTGCTTGAAGGCAGGGACTGATTTTTTGCCTTTTTGTATTCCCAGCATTCAGCACAGTATCTTGCAGGGCACATAGTAAGTGCTGAATAAATTTTTAAAAATTTATTTACAGGTCCAAATTCTCCCTTTCTGCATCTCCTCCCTTCCTCATCCATAGAAAAGGCAAGAAGAAATATGATACATATTTCACATATGAAGTCATTGCAAAATTTATTTTCACACATTAGCCATGTTGCAAAAAAAAAAAAAAAGTAGGGAAAAAAAAGATTCAGCAGATTATTGTTAGAATTCAGTAAATGTGTTTTGACTGCCCGCCAGCAACAGATTTTCTCACTAGAACCATCCTGGCTAACTACAGAGAATCCTGCCCATTACCCAGTAGGTTGGCCACTAGGAGATGAGTTCTTTGGTTTGGCAACCCTGGAAACAAAAATGTGTAAAAGGAATGAATAGTGAACAAAATTCACACTGTTTAAAACTCTTTTATATCATTTGTAAAATGGAGAATAATAATCCTTTATCTACCTGCTTCACAGGTTTGTGGGGGGAATACACTTTGTAAACCTTAAAGTACCATGTAAATGTCAGCTATTTCTAGTTCCAGTTTGAGACAACAATAAATTTTAGGATAGCCTCTGGGCTTGAGGTCTGATTTCTACAACTCTGTGCTTCTCAGGATATTTCTGTACATGCCTTGTTTTGGTATGTGAAGCATTTTCCAATGTTTTTAGTCCTTCATTCGAAGAGGACCAATGACATCAGGAGGGTGATGTCTTGACCTGAAAGTGAATGGGAGTTAAGTGAGATGGCTGTGCAAAGTAACCAGCCTCATTCTCTCCTCCATTCGAGTCCAGTGGGCAAGACATAGATCAGGACAACTGGAGACTGCTCCCTATGTTAAAGCATACTCATTCTTAGAAGGGTGTACCCAAAAGCAACATTTAGATGATTTGGCAGATTCCTTTCATCTCCTGTTCTGGGGTTATATAATTTTTGATGTTTTACTTACCACATATTAATTTGCAGTGGCCAGGGATTCTGTTCTTTCAGAGATCAAAACATCAGAGATTGAGAGCTGGAAGGGACCTTAGACAATATTTAATTGAAACTCCTCATTTTGTAGATAAGGAAACAGGCTCCTTAAGTTACTTCCCAATATGAATCACTCAAGTCCTCTGATTTTGGAATATGGGGACATCCCTGTAATTGCTTTTATTCTAGAGCAACAGTTGAAGCTTTTCCATGAAAAGTTCTATTCTGGCTTTAGCGTGATGGCAAGGATGTAGGATTTGAGTTAGGAAAAGTGGCTTCGAATTCTGACTCTTGATATTTAATAACTGTAGGATCATGGATAAATAAGTCTCTGAGCTACAGTTTTGTTATTTGTCAGTTGGGGTTGATATAACACACTATATCTAAAGTGGTTTTTGTGAGAAAAGGGTGTTATAAATCTAAAAAGTGTTACACAGTGGTGAATTAATGTACCTCCATTTGCTTCTGAATTCAGAGCCTTTACTCTTTCTCATGGCAGAATCTTGTTGATCACAGTGAAGGAGTTAGTGGGGCTCCTTCGCTTACAAAATGACTGTTGTACTATAGGGGACCTAGGGGTGCAGAAAAGAAACTTTCTTACCCAAGGAAATATTTTTTTACATCTCTTTAAGACACTATGGTTGCACTGTGTGTAGCTTACTCAGGAAAAAAATTTAAAAGTTATACAGTGAAGTGTAGGAATTATATTGAATAGAGAATTGTCTGTTGGAGGACTAGGTACTAAATTATAGAGGTGTGATCTGCATTGAACCCATTCTAATAAAATTATGGATCCATTAAGTATTAAATATGAAGTAAGCCTATCTCTCTGCATATAAAGAGAACAATCTTTTTCCAAATGCAGACTATACCAAACATCACAAAAGTACACATCCCTACCTTATCTACAATCTTCCAGTAAAATAACAAACCATCAGCTAACAAATTTATGATTTCAATTTACTTTTGTTATTTAGTCATTTTTAGTTGTGTCTCTTTGTGACCCCATTTTATAAATGGAGTTTTCTTAGCAAAGATAGTGGAATGGTTTGCCATTTCCTTCTTGAGCTCATTTTACACATAAGGAAACTGAGGCACACAGGGTTCAGTGACTTGTCCAGGGTCACACAGCTAGTAAGTGTCTGAGGATAAATTTGAACTCAGGTCTTCCTGACTTAGGTCTTGCACTCTATTCACTGTGCCATCTAGCTGCATCAATTTACTTTATGTCTCTTAAACCATTCTGCTTCATTCATGGCACAGCCAATTAACATTTGTTGGATAGGTCACTTCTCAGCATGTTTGTATAACATGGACGATCTAACTTCTTACTGATGAGTCCTGTATGTTGATGAATTAAGAGTACTGTCCAAAGTAAAAATAGTTTAGCACTTTGGATAAAGTCAAATTCATTCCCTTAGTGTCTAACTTGTTCTTGTCTTTGATATCAGATGAAATTAGCCAGATTACATTTGCTTGTTTTTCAAACCAGAGCCTACTGCTGTTTTGATTCAGTTCTGAAATTTGGGAAATTAGGAAAATTTCACATTTCTATTAGAGAGGACAGAGTTTGTTACATTGTCAATCTTTGTGTATTAACCAAGGAAATCTTTTAAATTTGTTGGAAGATCTTACATTTATAAAGTAATAACATTCAGACATGCAAAAAAGACTCTTTGTCTTGAATATAATTATATATTGCTTTTGTTAATTTTGCAATAAAGTTTTACTTATGTGGACTAGTGTTGTGTGGTGTAGTGGAAGGAGCACTGAACTTGGGAATCAGGAGTCCTACCTTAAAGTTCCTGTTCCCAGTATTTATAGGTGAATTCTCTTCTCTATTTAAATGCTACCCAAAGTAATTTTAATTAGCTCAAGAGTATGTTAGATTAAGGAAAGCCAGCCAGATGCTACCTTTGTGACCATGGGCAAATCACTTCACCTTTCTAGCTTTCGGTTTCATCTGTAAAGTGGGTGTAATAGTCTTTGTACTACCAGAATGAAGTGAGGAAAGTGCTGCACACAAGTGAATTCTTAGTAGGATCCTGGGAGGTAGTTTAACTCAGAAGTCTGTAATTTTCCCTTCATACAGTTTATTTAAAGAGTCACAGAATTTGAGAGTTAGAAGTGGGACCTCAATGGCCATCTCATCCAATCCATACCCAAAAGGAATCCCTTTTATAACGTATATGACAAGTAGTTGTCCAGCCCTTGCTCCAAGGATGGAGAGAGCAGAGCTCTCACTTCTTAGGCATTCATAGCACATAATGCAAAAAGATTTAATTATGTGAATGTTAATGTATTTTCTCTGAGTACAGTACTCTAATAATGTATCGTGATATTTGTGTTAAAAGAATTGAGAATTTGAACAGGAATGAAAAGATTTAGTAATGATTGTTCTCTTTTTATTTTGTAGAATTTTGGAGTAAAAAGATCTTTTCATTCAACAATGGCGGGAAAATCATCACTTTTTAAAGTAATTCTCCTTGGAGATGGTGGCGTTGGGAAGAGCTCTCTTATGAATAGATATGTCACTAACAAATTTGAGAGCCACTTATTCCACACAATAGGTGTGGAATTTTTAAATAAAGACTTGGAAGTGGATGGACACTTTGTTACTATGCAGATCTGGGACACAGCAGGTCAAGAACGCTTTAGAAGCCTGCGAACACCATTTTACAGAGGTTCTGACTGTTGCCTTCTTACTTTCAGTGTAGATGACTCTCAAAGTTTCCAGAACTTGGCCAACTGGAAGAAAGAATTCATTTATTATGCAGATGTCAAAGAGCCTGAAAGCTTTCCTTTTGTGATTTTGGGTAACAAGATTGACATAAGTGAAAGACAAGTTTCTACAGAAGAAGCCCAGGCCTGGTGCAGAGACAACGGCAACTATCCTTACTTTGAAACAAGTGCAAAAGATGCCACAAATGTTGCAGCAGCTTTTGAGGAAGCTGTTAGAAGAATTCTTGCTACTGAGGATAGGTCGGATCACTTTATTCAGACGGATACTGTCAATCTTCACCGAAAGCCTAAGCCCAGTTCATCTTGTTGTTGACTATTAAAAAGCTTCGCCAATACAGCTCTAACCAACTCTTTTACAAAATGGGGCAGGGGAAATGGGAGGAAGAGGTTGATAAAATAAAGGGTCCAGCAAGTCCAGTTCTAATAATAAGATTTAAACTAATCTCTACTGCTGCTTCATTAGAAGGTGGAAGGGAAATAGCCATTCATTGAGTAACCTTTTACCAAAGGCATGTAACATTTATAAAGGTGTCTCTAATAACAAATGGTTACTTAAATTTTAATGTGTACTCACAGAGCTAATAATAAATCAAATGAATAATTAAAATGAAAACTTGAATTTCTAAAAGCACTACTTGGGTTGTTTTTTCCCCTAGAATTCAAATGGAGAACACATTTTTGTACGTATATATTTTTACAAAATTAGCATTTCACTGGTTCACTGAAAGCACATTTTAAAAATGCTTAATATTAAAGATTTAAATCACAAAATTACTTTGGACTTGAGTGATACTTCATGTTACATGAAATTATTTAACTATATCTGATCTGTAAGAGTGGAATGTAGTTGATTGATGTAACACAAAAACTTGGGTTATAGCTGATTTTTTACTCAGATGTTAGTACTTATTGACTTTTAAACAGAAAAGAATATTCTTACAAAATATCTGGAAATGTAGCCATCTCTGATATATGACAGTCTTTTTTGTTTTAAAACAAAAAGTATTCATTTTTAAATAAATCAGAATGCATTTATTCAGCAGCACATTTTCATTGAATATTTAGTGCTGTAGTCAAGCTGCCTCAACTTTAAGGGAGAGATTAAATTGGTATTTTCACCTTACAGATATTATCCTTAGAGCTGAGATGTAGCTTTTGTGAAACAGTTTGGTTAAGAACAAATATACTATGTGCTTCAGTGTAATAAGAACTAAAATGCAAACAGTGGAGGACATTACAATGAAACAAGGTTTTCTTTAAGAAATGCCAGTTTTCAGGATTCCCTCCTCCTGCCATTCTAAAATGATCTAAATTTAAATTTGAGGAGTTAAAATTTTAGTCATGTATAGTCTAATAATCTTGACAGCTATCTCTATCCCTCCCTCCCGATACCCCCTCCCTTAGCAAATAAATCTGACTATATAAAGGACTCTTATGTTCTATAATATATACAATTTTAAATAGCTTTAATTTGAGAAGAATGCTTTTAACAAGTAGTATATGTTTAATTGTAGTGTCCCACTCATTAAATTATCCTGGAAAAACATCTGACATTTATAAAAATTTACAAAGTATTTTATACATCATTTTCATTTGATTCTCAGTAGCCTTCTGAGGCAGGTATTCAAGTATCCCCATTTTATAGATGAGGAAACTAAAACTTTGAAGGGCTGACTTTCTTAAGGTGATAAAGCTTAGTAAAAGACAAACTTGCTACTCTAACCAAGTTTTGAGATGCTGAATCCACAGCATTCTTTCCCATTGTCACATCCTTCCTTTTTATCACAGCTGCAACTAGGGCAGTCACTTTCCCAGACTGATAACATGGGAAAGGATTGGTGGTGATGATGCCCCATCCCTTAAAGTAACCTCAGATTTCACTATCATGGTACCTTTTCCCAAGGAGGGGAGTTTCCTCTCACCATGCCAGTCATTCTTACATAAAGTTCTACACAGTTTTTTTAATCATCATGCTATTCAGAATATTTGCCACATCTGCTTATGAAGAATGATTAAATGGAACAATGTGTCAAAATGCCAATGAATTTTATCACGTGGTATCCAGTGGTGGTTGTAATTTTTTTTAATAGCAGGGGAGATGCTAAAATTTATTGAAATTAATCTCAACTGTTTAATCAGTGGAATGTTTGGCAACTCCATGGAAGATGAATTGAAGAGGGGAGATAAGACAGGGAGAATTATTGGGAAGCTGTGAGATAAAAGAGCAAGCATAGGATTTGACCTTAATGAAGAGGCCCATGTCTTTTTTTTTTAACCTGAAATAAAGAATGGGGAATGATGACAAGTAATAGACTTGCAGCATCAGTGGTCATGGCAAATGATCACATCTTATTTAATTCTCATAGTAACCTTATGAAGGAGGTGGGCCAGATGGTAGCATATCCATTTTACAAATGCTAAATCCCAAAGATGCTTGTAATGCCTGTAGCATAAAGAATGCTTGAGCCAGAAAATGGCCTGGCAATTCAGGCTGTGTTCATTTCTGAATTAATCTGTGTAACCACTGGCTAAGAGATGTCTTTGGATATCATAGTTCTAAAAAAAAATCTCTAAAAGTCCAATTCTAGCTTCAGATCTGTATTTCTAAGGTCACAAGGCTAGTAAATGACCAATGTAAGATGACCCAAATCTTTGGAGTCCTAATCTGGTATTTCTACTAATTAAAGTTTCTGAAGTCTGGCTCAGAGTAAAACAAGATCAACAATAAGGGTTTGGAATTGTTGAACACAGGCTAATTCAGTAAATCCAGGAATATAAGAGAACTAGCAGATAACCGCAGGAACCCCAAAAGGACATCTAGGACAGCTTTGCACTTGGAAATTGCTGGGGAAAATCCCTAAAAAAGCTTTTTTTTTTTTTTTTTTTTTGTGGCAAAGCAACCCTTTAATAGCCATCTAGTAGCCAAGGAGTACAGAGCTGAAGACAGACAAGTATTGCTTCACTATATGGAAGAAATGTTTGTAAAATGCCAACCTTTTCACATGAAAGCTGAGAGCATGGGAGAAAAGGTAAAAATGAAAGAGAAGAAAAGTGACAGATCAGAGATGGCAGTGAATGAACAGTGACAGAATTGCATTATAAATCTTTCAATAATTGTGGGGGGAGGGAGGAAAAGGAATGAGGAAATGGGACATTCAGTGTACTGCATTTTACAGTGAACAGCTAAGCCATATTAAGAGTATGGTACCATAGTCTATAGCCACAACAGCAACACAGCAGAATTGTTTACCATAGGGTTCCAATCTTCTAGTGTGGTAGACAGGTTAAAAGTAAAAATAAATAAATAAATGAATCTGATGCAACTGTTATCTTCCTGCTGCATCTAACCAGTTTGACCAAGTTTCTATCCTTTGAAGATTCAGTCTTAAAAGGTTGGGGGTTGGGGAACAGTTCTAACTTTCAATGAGTTGTCAGTGAAAGGATCAATATGTTCAATTTTTAACGGCACCTGTTCCCCAACTCAAGGCAGCCAGGTGGTGCAGTGGTGCAGTTAGATTGCTAGGCCTGGAGTTAGTAAGACTTGAGTTCAAATTTGGCTTCAGACGCTTACTAGCTATGTGACCCTGGGCAAATCACTTAACCCTATTTGTCAAGCTGGAGAAGAAAATGGTAAACCACTCTAGCATCCTTGCCAAGAAAACTCCAAAAATGGGGTTGAGTCAGACACAACTGAAATGACAACAATAAAGTGTTTGTGGAAAATCATGTTCTGGTGTCTATCCTATCTGTAGAAGTGTCTGTTATTAATTTCTGATGATGACTAAGAATTGGAGGTTTTGCCTTCCTAAAACACTGGAACCCAAATCAATTTTTATTGATGTCTTTAAATTTTTACACACCCATTCCCCAAAATATTCCCCCGTAAACTGTCCAAAGTAACAACAACAACAAAATTATGGAAAACAAAAACATGCCATTTTTGACAGCATATACAACACTGCACTTGTAGGCCTCTACCTCTATACGCCGTTATGTCTCACCTAAGGCACAACAGGCCTTTAAAAATGGTCAATTCGGTGAATATTATTATTTCTCGCATCTGTCTTTGTTCGTGTTGTTTTCCTGAACTAGGATGCACTCCCCTTTTTAAACTGCAGCAGTTTCATGTTGAATGTTTTACTCAATTTCTATTTCCTTCATGAAATATTTTCTGCCTATTCCAGTTCTGCAATAGTTCTCTTTTGAATTCCTGTGACACTTGTAGTATGGTCCTGTTAAACCAGCCTCTTCCTTTTTCTGGTACATGACAGTCATTCCTCATTTTGGCATTTTTGCACAGGCTATTAGCTGTTAGTCCCTTCACCTGGAATGTACCCTTCCTTTACCTCCAAATCAGAATTCCTAGCTTCTTTCAAAGAATGTCTGAAGGTAGGAAGAGGTTAGATGCAGTAGAAAGGGAGACACTGATTATTAGAGGGGTAATCATCAATGGAGTAATGGCTTAGAGGAGACAGGAAGGGAAGGGTGGGATAAAAAAATAAGTGCACTTAGCCAGTGTGGTGGTCAGTGGATGAGAGTACATATCCGGAGTCAGGAAGACTCCAGTTCAAATACTGCCTCAGACATTTAGTAGCTGTGTGACCCTGGGCAAATCACTTGATTGCTGCTTGCCTCAGTTTTGTCATCTGTAAAATGGGGATAATAACAGCACCTACCTCCCAGAGTTGTTGTGAGGACAAAATGAGACAATATTTGTAAAGTGCTTTGCAAACTTTAAAGCACTACATAAATATTAGTTATTACTAGCTAGCTTATTAGATGCGAACTCATAATAAAAGGAAGTCTTGTTAAACTGGTAAAGATGAAAACCACCTCATCCTCTGAGACTTGAGAGAGAGAGAGAGGACAGGCAAGGACAAAAAAGTCTGAAGGAAGGGAAGAAAAGTTTGGGATAGATAGCTTCAATTTTCTCAAAGTAGGAAGGAATGCCATCTGGTAAGATATTGGGTACATGGACCTTGGGTGCTTGATTTAGAATAGTTACCATGGGGAGTAATAAGAAGTTAGAGATGAATAAAAGGATTGCTGAGCAGCAGTAAAGGCCCAGTTAGCACAGTTTCTAGATAGTTCAGCTCTTAATAATTTATGATTCTTACAATCTATCTTTATACAGATGCAACAGTCAGTCTATGCTCATGAATTGTGTGGGAGGAAGGATCCCCTAAATTAGTTCTCAACACATGACATTTGGGTACTTACCAGTTCCTAAAAAATACTGAAAATAGCATCATCTCCAGAAAAAAAAAACAAAACACCAAACCTACATGCAATGAAAGATCACAGCCTTTGAAAAGCTGATTCTGTTTTTGTAATTAGGTAAAACAACAAGGTGGGGAGAAGGGGGAAATATATGTGTGGCCAAGAATTTCACACAGAATCCTAGATAAAAAGACCAAATTTCAAAACTGTTACTTAAAAGTTCCCTTTTATTATATTGTATTCAATAATGCTTTTCTAGACATTTGTAGTTTTCCCAAGAACTACTGGGCTATGGTCATGTCATCTGTTTACAAACACAACACAATTTATAGAATAAGATTCCATACTTTGTACAATGCAAAAACCCCCAAGCTACTTTTCTAATTACAATCTACTCTATATGCTTACTAT